AGAGATTCTCCATACAAGTTGGGAAAGGTGCAGAAAATTGACAATCAAGTGGTACATCCATAATCATTTTTGACTTGAAGCTCTAAAAAGCATCGGCTGCCCCACCTCCGAACGAGCAACCAGAATATTAAGGGACCTCCATTCCCGGTGTCTCTGGTTCCTTTTGCTTCTCCCCGGTCTTACCTCTCTTTGACTTTGGCGGTGACTTCTTCTCTTCTCTTTTATTCCTTGGAACTCAGACTCTTCGTCTCTTGGTTCCACCATTCAGCATTCAGCATCCATTGTGCACCCTCTGGCAGTTGGGGTTTGTGTCGGGGGGCCCTTGCTCACTCGGCCCTTTTCCCCTCTTCCATCGTTTTCCCACCCCATCACCAGTCATCGTACGACCTTTCTCCTCCGACCTGCTATCTCCTCCATACCTACACCAAATCAATCTCTGGCATACAGAGAATTTATCTTTCCATCCAAACCTTCCTTGATATTATTCTAGGGATTGTTCCTTTGCTATCGGAGTCCCCCCAACCCATCGGGATTCGCTGACTCTTCCCGCCCGCCGAGTTTTCCCCACGGGGTTCCCCGTGCGTCACAAATCGGCCCAGAAAGCGGCGACCGTCCACCGTTTACGAGACAACCTCCTGCCCGCTTCTTTTTTGCCTTATGCCAGTATACAACCGGGCTCGCGTTTCATTCTGAGCCCTCCGGACCGGCATTCGTCTGCCGATGAGAAGCAGTCCATCTCAGGTCTGATGAACGTTTCCTCTCCAAGCAACATCTTTGCGGGTGATCTTCGGGGTGTCGGCTAAGGCGCAACAATCCACTCGTGGTATCAAGGAAAGAAAAGACAAGGTTTCGAAACAATTGATTGATTATTGCCTGCATCTTCTGGCCAAGATGACCATGGCTCTCGCTGCAATGACCCCGCTGGGTTCGGGGCCGAAACGCGATCATACATCGAGCACAGAGATCGACATGATGACGGAAGCTGATGCGCTCCATGCGGCTCTAAATGGACCCCCACGCAAGAGAAAAAGAACCCGGAAGGTTCAGACGGATCGCAAGTTTGAATGCACATTTGAGGGGTGCGGCAAGAGTTACTCGCGAGCGGAGCATTTGTACCGCCACCAACTGAACCGTACGCATGCTGTCCTTCCAAGAGCTTCTGAGCAAGTACTAACTGGCTGTCGTTCTAGATACCCCCAAGCAGATTTATCGATGCGACTTTCCCGATTGCTACCGCTCCTTCGTGCGACAAGACCTATGTATCCGTCATAGAGAACGCCACACCACCCAGGGATCGCAGCTGCAGAAGCGTGATCACTTTGCGCAGACGGCAGCAACCGGCAACAACCCGAAAAAGCCGCAAGCCTCTCAAGTCATGTCACAGATGAACGCGAACCACGCGCCTACACTCATTCCGCTACCCTCCAATTACTCGCCCGTACAAGCCCCCTCGGAGGGTCCTACAATGACAGTGCCTGCAATGAGTGCATCGAATCAGCACGTACACATGCCATCGCCCTCGGGTTCTGTGGGCATGGGCCAGGGGTTCAATTATCAGACTCTGGTCTCCCACCATGCGGTGGACTTGTCTGACCCTACGTTTTCCCGATCGAACAGTTCCAGTAATCATACCCTCAGCTCTCCCCCAGGACCGTCAAGCACAACAACGTTTAGTCCTCCGGAGATCCAGGCGGTGCCTCATACTGCGCTTGGCAGTCACTCTGCCGGCAAATCTTCGCCCAATTCGGGCGACTTGAGCCACGAGGTTCGGTCTCATCACTCCGTACCCGAAACAACCTCCATAACACACGATATCGACGGCCCTTCGTTGGCTCATCCCACCACTTATTCAGGCCTTCAACTCCCTCCCGGGGGATACACAGATATATCGATGGCTCCAGCGACGTCGGCTTCGACGGCTCTGGACAACGGAACACTAGAGTCGATGTCAGAGATGATGACATCCGGTCCATCAGTGGGGGATGCCGGCTTCGACGCGCTGGCTTCTTGTGTCTACCCGGTGTTTGGCGGCGAAGCCCACAACCGTTCACCCTTCGCTATGGCGGATGATTTCACAGCGTGGCTGTTCAACGATCCCGTGACAGGCTCTCCGTCCATGGGGTACCCTGCCCCTACTAACGTGGTGCCAAATTACTTGGACGCTGTCCAACTACAGAACCAGTTCTTCATGAGTGATCCTGCCTATGGCAGCTTTCTCAGTGGTGTAATTCCGCATCATCCTATGAGTGTTACAAGCATTCTGGATCCGGGATCACCGCGCGCCATCATGTCAGAGGAGAAGAGACAAGAACTTCTGGCCCTCATGAGCTCGAGGTTCAATGAGGCCTTTTACGCCGTGTCTGCTAAGCGCAAGGATGCTCTGATGGACGGCGACATTGACGACGACGACCATGTGCTGAGTCTACGGATGATGCAGATGTACATCGGCTCGTATTGGTACCACTTCCACTCTCAGTTGCCCATTCTACATCGTCCAACCTTCGAGGCAGACAAAGCGCCTAATCTTCTTCTGCTCGCAGTGATGGCCATTGGCGCATCCACGCTGGATGGAATCCACGGGTCGGAAGTAACCGAGGCAGCGGCTGAGCTGGCGAACTTTATCGCCTGGCATCTGCGAACGGAGCTTTTCATGGATGCAGACTTTCGCCCGCCAGCTAAGCTGTGGATCTTCCAAGCACTCCTGCTGCTGGAGGTATACGAAAAGATGTATTCCACGCGTGCGCTCCATGAGCGGGCGCATATCCACCACGACACCACACTCACACTGATGCGGCGAGGTAGCTCATTGATTGGCCGCTCTGCATTAGACTCTCCTGCAAGCTTTCGAGACGACCGGCAGGCCCGGTCAGCTTCTGGATCGACAATGGCGCCAGACTTTGTGGCTGAGGAGTCATGGACTCACTGGATCAAGGCGGAGGCCACGAGACGAGTGGCTTTTGCGGCTTTTGTTCTGGACTCTACTCACGCCACTATGTTCGGGCACTCGGCTAAGATGGTGGCTCACGAGCTTCGGTTACCATTGCCCTGCGATGAGGCGCTGTGGTCTGCGACTAGCGCCTCTGAGGTAGCCCGCGTGCAATCGAGCCTGCACGCTAATGGAGTCAAGCCTGTCATGTTCTTGGACGGCCTGAAGAAGACGCTTAACGGACAGCGGGTCCGGACAAATGCTTTTGGACGAACCATCCTCATGGCTGGTTTGCTTAGCGTCAGCTGGCACATGAACCAACGAGATCTCCAGGTGAGCTCACTGGGTGGGCCGCCGGCATTGGGAGGCCGGGACAAATGGCGGTCAGCACTGTTGCGAGCCTTTGACAATTGGCGACGAGACTTTGATGAAGCGTTGGGTCAGTCACCGTCCGGGCCTTTTCATAGTGGATACCGTACCCGGCACCCTCTGGACGACGACAACGTCTTCGAGTCGCGCGACGTGCTCCATGGACTGGCGCACATGGCTTCTCACGTTGATATCGTCGACTGCCAGATCTTCGCTGGAGCTAATCGGCTCATGGGACGGTCCATCACCCCCAGAGATTACAAGGCGGCGCGCGAAAAGATGGTTGTCTGGGCCACCAAGGCTACTGCCCGCGACGCCACGTTCTATGCTCTAAAGTTCTTATCGGAGTGCCTCCTGGATGAGAGACGAGCACTGAACGAGGATGGGGAACTGTATTCAGGTCGGGACGACTACCTCTTGAACCGGCCGTGGGTGCTGTATGTTGCGGCTCTCGTGGTCTGGTGCTATGGATTTGCACTTGAGGGGCCCTTCAAGTCTCCTGTCAAGTTGAGCACTCCTGCTGCGCAGCGGCAGGACATGCAGGAATATCTGCGCCGGATGGGCAGTGTTCGGGAGCCCAGCGACTTGGAAGGCATGCAAGGACGCAACCGCTGTCTGGGCTTGTTGTTGGTCCTCCGTGACGGGTTCACCAACACGCGCTGGGAGTTATTGGCCGAAGCTGCCAACCTTCTCACCAGTTGTATCGACAAGCTGAACGGAGCAGCTTTCTGATTTTCACTGTTTCCCTCAAAATTTATAATTCCTTTGTTAATTTTTCTACATCTTTTCTGTGTATATAGCGATTGAGGGAGGTTTTTGTTATTCTGTACATGGTTGTACTTGTGTTTTGATAGGCACCTGCTGTCTTGTTTGCTGTATTCTGCGTGACTTATGTCGTTGGCTGTCTGAGTACTTTGCGCATGTGTTATGACTTGGATACCATTGGGATGGATAGCGTTGCATGTTTGTATTATTGCAATATTAGTACCTACTGTGTGTATCTTCACAGACGCCAGTCAAGTTCCATGACCAATGCTAGTAGGAACTAGTGTAGCCTGATGTTGTCATCGTATCAGACAAGCGCAGATCGATAGGGGGGTTGTCGTGCCTGAGGTGTCCGGTTACCACAACAACAACCGGGCAAACAGTGCCGCCGGACTCTCTCCTCCATCCCGCCCGCCCTTCTCCTTTCCCTGTTCCCTCATTCTGCCCTCCTCCTTCATTCCAAACCATACGTGGTACTCCTGCCATTGCCGTTCCGTTTGTTTAGATCGACATCTACATCCCCCTGTCGCTATCCCTCGCAGCCCGCAGCCGCATACTCCTCACGCAATACCGCAATCAACACAATAAACAGTCATGGTACGTGGCCGTCTTGCAATTCCGCAATGTCAATTAAAAGCATCATCCCTCGCTGGCGGGAGAAGAATTGTCCGGATGGCATCAGGAACGAGCAGTACTGTGTATCCCTTGTTTGTTGACTATCGTGGTGAACCTCGGGGATAACTCGTGTGGTTGGATCCATTGAATTCCGGCCCCTCGTCGGCCCATCCAATCCCTTTGCTCGTTTCCATGGTTCACTAGTAGTCGTGGCTGCTTGTTCGTCATCGGCACTCTTCAACTCCCTGTCTTCTTTCCATCCTCATTTCATCTTGGATCCCTACTCTTCATCTCGGATTTCTGCCCCTGTGATTTCGTTTTCAAGATGTCCCGCTCACCAGATATGCACCATGACCAGGCCTCGACCAACTACAAGGAAGCCTTCTCTCTCTTCGATAAGCGCGGTACCGGCAAGGTCGCGCTCGAGTCGCTGGGCGACCTCCTGCGCGCATGCGGTCAGAATCCCACTTTGGCGGAGATCGCAGATCTGGAGAAGTCCGTCGGTGGAGACTGTACGTATACCCGGATTTGAGATGGCTGATACGGATCTAACATGCTTTGCGCAGTTGACTTCGAGTCGTTCTTGAAGGTCCTCAACCGCCCTGGAGGCTTCCGTGACCCCGGCGAGCCCGAAGAATACTGCCGCGGATTCCAGGTGTTTGACAAGGACCTGACTGGGTTTATCGGTGTGGGACAGCTCCGTTACAGTATGTGAATGACTATGGAGATTATTGGATGGATACTGATGATGACACAGTCCTGACGAATCTCGGAGAGAAGATGTCGGATGAGGAGGTCGACGAGCTGCTCAAGGCCGTCGACACCAGCTCCGGCGAGATCAACTACACCGGTAGGCTACCAAATCTTTGTTCACCACGCATTTGTTTTGCATCAAGCTAACAGCAGCAGATCTCGTCCGCACCATTCTGGCCAACTAAACGACACACGACACCGATACCCTCCTGACGTTCCTGATGATTTCTGTTACGACGCGAACCTCCTACCAGCCGTGCCGGAGTTGAAGGCTTGAGCATAGTTTAGTTATAGTGCATTGTATATGGGATATTGCGCGATTCAGCATCGGATAAACATGAATAAATATGGTAAATGATACATGGTATATGAAGTAAGAATATAAATAGCACAAACAACTCCGACTTGTCACTTCCCTCCCAACACATCGCCCCAACCATAGACTATGCCATGCGCACAGCATCAGAAACAGACAGACACATAGATAAATGATATAGAATTATCCCTCCAACCACCCCACCCACTCCCTATCCAACCCCTTCACCACCCTCTCCAACTCCTCATCCCGCAACATAACCCCCGTCTCCACCAAAGCCCCAGGCAACAAATACACCACCCTAGCCTTCTCCCCCTCCCCATCTCCCTCCCCATCCCCTCCTTCCCTATTAGTAGAAGTCATCCCCCCAAAATGCACCTCATCCAAAAAATACCCCATCACAACTCTACACCGTCCACACCTAAGGAACAACCTCTTCTCGAACCCATCTTCCCTGCGCACGAGGGTATGTTTCCGATCGGGGATAGTGGTTGAGAGGAGAATCGTGTAGTGTTTTTGTTGTTGTTTCGATTGTTCATCGTCGGTGCTGTTGTCGCGCGGAAGAGGGAGGATTATCGCCCCGTCTTTTGCGGGGGATTTGCGCCGCGGGAGGGATGGGATTGAGCGTGTTGTGGCGAGGAGGAGATGGTTGCAGAAGCGGCAGTGGTGGGTTTGGACGGGGAGGCGGGATGAGGAGGGTTGTTGGTGTTGGGAGGGTGTGGTTGTGGTTGTTGTTGTAGTTGTGGTTGGTGGTGGTGGTGTTGGGTTGTCTGGGGTTGGGGTTGACATTGTGGGAGTAAGTCTTGAGTAGGTGGGTAGTTGGTTTTGTGGAAGTGCGGTAGGTGTGATATGTAGATTTGTTGTAGGTTATCGTTGTGTGGTTGATTGAGGAGTGTGGTGTGGATGGTGGAGGAAGCTGGTGGTGACGACGGTGATGTGAAGTTCAATGTTGGGTGTGAGGTTTTCGGCTTATCGATAACGGGGATGGTCAGTAACTACCCTTGGAAGTAATGAAACGGCAACCAACCCACTTGGTATTGCGCATAAAAGGCAACTAAAGAGTTCATGGAAGTATTCTCAATGCTTGCTTGTTTATCAGCCTGGAATGAACTTTTTTTCTCTTCTTTTTCTGTTTTGTTTTTCTCCCCAGGTGGCCTTGCATGGGGAGGTTAGATTGAGTGCGGACTAGTAGAGTACTAATCTAAGATTTTGTTCACTCTTCTTGAAAGATCTGATGGGTCATTTGCTACATACTACTACTTACTGAAGTACTACTAGCTCTTACCTCTATAATGATCGAGCAGAGATCATAGAGGTTGTGGCACTAGCACTAGCATAAGCTACAGCATGAGGCCACGAGCCTACTCAAGTACTGAGCGTCTTGAATCGGGATAGAAATCGAATGCAGCAGGTCACATGTGGGCTACATCGGGATTTGACAGACAGAAGAAGTCACTTTTGCACTTTCCAAGTAATGGAATCGTGCTTCCACTGCAACACTACTACTTACTTTTGCTTATGTCTTTGCTAGGCTACACCTTATGCTTGCTTTTGGGGAAGTATTACCCGAGCCAATCAACTGATCTGTGAATCGGTATTTATCGCTTTCCCTTAGCTCATCCCAGCCTACACGTACGTACTTGTCTCTGTGGACAATCTTCAATGGCTGAATCTACTTACCTTTTTATCGTCAGCCCTGAATGATTCTCGTGTGACACGGCTCCAATGAGCCGTCACTGGTTGCAGAAGAAGAATGCGAAGGAAGACTTCTTGTACGAGGGTGTGATGAACCTGCAGCATTACCCTGGTACCAGCCAGCTGTGACGATCGGACTTTGTCTGCGATGCACGATACTAGTTCGTCCTTTTGTCCAATAGGAGTGTTCTTCCCACTCCCCAAATCACTAATGCGATCTCTAAGTAGTTCCGGACTCGAAACAATACCTTATCCGGCTGATGAAGATCTCCGTCCCCTTCAACAATCATCTCTCCTCGTGGAGGCTTGAGCCCAGCTCAGTAACTGCTTCAAACCAGACTTTCCATTACCAGAACTTTCAGTAGAAAGTCCAAGACTATTTCTCAGATGACTTGTCCGTCAAGAGAGGTTGCCATTCCCTTAAAATACCCACATTCCTAGAACCCGCAAACAAGGATTTGGGTGAACTCAGGCCAAGAAGTGTCTATTGATACCCGGCATAAGCGATTTCCCTGGTGTGGTAATCCAAACCAGAGTAACTGTCTGCCGCAAGCTATTTCGTGAACCCTCGGGTAATGCGGCTGTGAACCGGAACAGGAGCGTCAGGCACCGCTACAGGAAACTCGGCCAGCACGAATATTTTCTGGCACTGTACTCGTAGTGCGGCTCGGATATCATTGCTTCCCTTGTTAATTGAAGAAGTTTACATCCGCTCTTGTGGCGCTTCGGCACCTATCGCGGCCCTTCCACTAGCCACTACTACCAACACGTATTCCGCGCTAATCCAAGAAATCGATGAACAGTGGGGCCTTGGTCACGTAGCTGAACTTTCTCAGCCTGAATCATAACATAACCGAGTCATTGAGGTTAGTTTTTTCAGTGTGGCTGGCTGGGATTTTGGGCTGGGATTTTGTCGAAGGGATCTGCTCTACAGTAGTTGTCGAACAACGCATAGCTCGCCTGCTTGAGATCGTAGACATGTTGAGTCAGTGTCTCCATATCCTCGCTCTATACTGACTCCTCAGGTTGGAGACAACATCGATAAGGGCCGAGATAACCGCATACGGCCTACGGAGATTAATGGCGCCGTAGTGCCAGCTGAAGGTGGAAGATCTAGACAATCAAGTGGAGACGAGAACGAGTCAGGACTAAAAAAAAAAAAAAAAATTATTACCCCGTATTGGTCTAGGCGATGACACTCTGGGCATCAAATCATTTGCTTCAGCTGAGCAAGCTGCGGTGAACTAGCCGATCTGATGGTAGCTGGGCTTGAACTAGTCGGACATATCAGATGTGAGGGGTATATAAATGGCACGTTTCCGGACAGTGGCCATGCAGCAGGATCTTCTACTACTAAATTCTTTGAGCCACAAAATGGAGAGTTCCCCGTTCAATATCACAGAACATGTTGTTGATTGCCAGCATATACGAGAGTATGCCCGCGCGACTCGAGATAGCAACGATGCACTAAAGATTGCGGTCAAGCAATACACACCAAAGTCGAATCCAAATCCCCAACCAGGTGATGTGACCATCATTGGAGCTACTTCTGTTGGATCCCCTAAGGTGAGTCGGGACGTATCTTTTGCGCTGTATAAAAGTGCACTTCAAAATGTGACGCCAGAAAATGTAAAATCTAAATCAATGCAATGGCACAGGAACTAAAAGAGCCGCTATGGGAGGAGATATATGAAAGGTTAAGCCGCCAGGGACTGCGAATTCGCTCTATCTGGATTGCAGATTCAGCCCCACAGGCTGAGAGCGCGGCCATCAATGCGGAATACCTAGGGTTTGAGCGTACGCTTTCGAAATGCCTACCAGCCCATTCTCCCCTAATTAACCCTATTCTAGCATCATGGTTCGACCACAGTCGAGACCTGCTCTACATGATCAACCAATATAAAGATGATATGCCGAAACCTATCATTGGTGTTGGACATAGCATCGGAGTTGGGCAACTGTAGGTTTTCCTCTCTCTCTCTCTCTCTATCTACACCTGTACTATACATGAATACGAACACTAATACACCAACGCGATCCACCAGATTGGGTCTAACCCAGATGCACCCCCGGCTTTTCACTTCCCTTATCCTCATAGAACCAGTGATAGTAAAGGAATTTATTTCTGGAAGAGGCCCAGGCTTTGCCAAAGCAGCGCTGATGAAGAAGGATACGTGGAAGTCCCGTGCCGAAGCAGATTCGTACTTTAGAGAGACACTCAACGAATGGGATCCACGATGTCTTGATCTCTGGCTCAAATATGGCCTTCGAGACAACACCGCCGAAACCGAGAACTCAGAGTCGGCAGTCGGTCTAGCTACCACCAAAGATCAAGAGATTGCACAGAGCTTACGGCCCAACTTCATCGACTTGCAATCCGGCAGCCAACACTCAGATTATTTACACGATCCCTCATTCTGGACCGATGTGACCGGTCATTCGGAAACTCTTCCGTTTTACCGCTATGAACCGATCGTGTTATGGAAACTACTCAAATACGTCCGGCCATCGGTACTCTGGATCTATGGCGGAAAGAGTATCATGGCAACACCGGATCAACGTGCAGAGAAGCTCCAGCGGACTGGAACAGGGGTGGGGGGTAGTGGTGGCTACGAGAAGGGCCGCGTCAAGGAGATAGTCATACCGAATGGTGGACACTTCGTTCCGTTCGAGGATGTGGCAGGAGTCGCTGGACCTGCTGCTGAATGGATCAAACAAGAGACGGACAGATGGCATGAGGAAGAAGAACGGATCAAGAAGGGCTGGCTGGAATTGACCGCGAAACAGAGGTCGTCAATCCCCAACGAGTGGCTTGCGCAGATGGACAGATATTTTATGAAGGGGAAGACGCGTAAAGCGCAAGTGAGCGCAAAGCTGTGAGCAGAATTAAGAAATGACTATCATATTGTTAACTGTTCAAGTTGTGGGTAGACAATCCCCGACAGACCTTGGCTAAGTAATTCTGAATCAATCCAACTATCTACCCACATACATATATAAGTTCCACTAGTTAATGCACTTTGCAAGCAGTGTAACAAAGACCCTCCAATAACGTTGCGATCGAATAACAATTAGTAGATGATCTCCCACCTGCAGGAAACGAGGCTACGGTCACCTGACATAAGAAGTAGTAAACCGGAAGCGATTCTCCACACGACCGGGAAGCCGATGATCATCGCCTCAAGCTCTTTCATGGAAAGAGACCGATCCATGAACAAAAATGCCACCACCAGAGCAAAGGGCTTCCACGCCCACCTCTTCACGACTAGCTGGACGATCACCACGGGTGCTTGCATGCGTGCTGTGCCAGCAGCGCAAAGTCAAATGCGACCGCAAGTTCCCCTGCGCCAACTGCGTCCGGGCCGGCGCGCAGTGTGTGCCCACTCTTGGCCCGCGCCCGCGGCGTCGCAGGTTCCCCGAACGAGAGCTCTTGGATCGCGTTCGGAGGTATGAAGACTTGCTGCGCCAGAATAATATACCTTTTGAGCCTTTGCATGCTCCTGTAGCGGAAGATAGTAGGGTGCTGGAGACTGGTTACCATGCTCGTTCTGAAGATCCTATGGTGGGGGAAGAGAGGGACGTGGCTGTCAAGGCTGAGCCAGTATACGCGGCTAAGTTGTGCTTCCGCAGTAAGGTTTGTTGAGGTCGCGCTGATTGTTGTATAGGAATTATTGGAAGGTTCTCAACTCAGTGGTATGTACCTTTTCTTGACTTGGGATGAACTACGCTTACAGTGGACGTCAGTCTCAAGATGCTGAGGAGGCCGATTCCGATGATGACAGTGAGGATGGCAATGATCTCACTCACTACCAGTTCACTCTGGGAGGGAATGCCGTGAACAAGATGTTTGATGAGGCGTACAAGAACAGCGACGAGGGATTTATATTTGGATCACGCAAAGCCAATGTGGATCTGTCGACATTGCATCCTGATCAAGTCCAGATATTCAAGCTCTGGCAGATTTACTTGGACAATGTCGACCCGCTGCTCAAAGTCACGCATACCCCAACCCTGCAAGCACGTATTATTTGTGCTCTTAGTGATCTGACTCGTATAAGCTCGGAACTGGAAGCACTCCTGTTCAGTGTGTATTG